TAAGATAGAGATATACTTGCTAGCCTTGCATAGCCACATTAGGATTGGTGTTTAAAATTGAGTTTTATTAATTGTAATAAGAGATTGAACAATTAATTTAACTAAACACTTGTTCATGACTTGAGAGAACTTGTCTAAGTATTTTTAGAACCCTAGGTTAGCACTTGTTTTCATTAAAAGCATTTACGAGAGGAGGTAATTTTGGTGTTATGAAATACAAGAGGGATAAATAATCTTAGGTCCTAAATTGTGTTGGAAGTTTGTAAATCACTCACTTTTCTTTATTTTTTAGTGTTAGTTTCATTTGCAAAATCATTTTCACCTAACTTTGTGTTGTTCAACTTGATCGAATTTATTTAATCTTTTGCTTGATTATAGTTTTTAAATAAATTCTCGAGGGAACGATACTTTACTCATTTTAGATTACTTACTACGACCTGTACACTTGCGGTCAGCAACATAATCCATAACAAATCTTATAATTCAATAAATTCAAACTAAAATAAAAATATAAGTACTCTTATTAATTTACTTTGAAAAAAAGAGATTTATTTTATATTTACAATAATTAAATGAAAAATTAAAATATTGTTATGCTTTTAATTAAATAATTAATTTTTATTGATTTGCATCATTTGATTAAAAATATTTTATACATAAGAATAAAGGGAGTATCATCTTATAAATAAGATTGATGAGTGTGATAAGGATACAAGTGTAAATGCTAAATTACAAGCAGCGTTTAAGGAATCTTGGAGTTCTTAGGCCCATTTGTGGAGGCACATCATCACAGTTGATCAGCGAATTAAGTGTGTGCTCATTTAGTGTTTTGTTAACTTTTATAGGCAAAGAAATGCAAATTGGTGATTAGTATGGCAGATGTTGATGCACATATACTCCTTTTGTTCTATATTATTTATACGTGATTAACAACATGTTTTATAAGAGTCAAGAAAAATCTTAAAAATTTATTAATTTTATTCAAAATTTTAATTTTACTCTTATTATATACTCCCTTCATTTAAAAATGTAAGAAATTTTTTAAGAAGTTGGATGTTCAAGAATGTAAGGCATTTTTAATCTTTCAAGGTGAAATCATTGACTTTTTTTTTAAAGTTCCCCTATTGATAATGACTTTATATTTATTATAGGGTATTTAATAGGGATAAAGATAAAAATATAGGGTTAATTTAAAAGTAGGTAATTACTTTATTGAGGTGTGAGATTTGATTAAAAATACTTTATATTTTTGAACGAAAAAAGTATGCGTAATTTAACAATATATTTTTCTCTCCCATGTTTAATGGAGGGTAAAACATTTTTTTATATAAATTTAAGGTAAAATAACATACAAATCTCTTTGAAATAAAAAAAAAGATAATTTAGTCCCACAAAATGTGATAATCACAATAAAGTCTTAAGAGATTTCTTTGAGAATAAATTTTTACGTGAAATTACTCCAATACCTTTTTGTAACTAATTTTATATGATTCACAAATTTAATATAAATATTTATAAGTTTAATTCTACCAATAATTAAATGATTTTTTAAATTATAAAAAGTATTAAAATAATTTCACACAAAAATTAATTTTTAAAAAATTTCTTTAAATTTTATTGTAATTATTATATTTTGTGAAATTAAATTATTATTTTTTTACTTTAAAAAGATTTATATGATAAAAAAATTTTAGGAGTAAAAAGAGAGTGATAATTTATTGAGAGAGTCAATGTCGGAAAGGAAATGATGGAAAATCAGATTGATTGGACTGTTTACCCAAGCCCATCCTGTGCTTCAACTTCATCTGATCTGTGCCCAAAATAACTACTTTTAAGTTTTATACTTTGATGGACCTCGTACCACCACTACCACCATCACTCCTACTGCTACTGCTGCTGCTGCTGCTGCTGCTATTGCTACTGCTACCACCACCACCACCACTACCACTACCACTACTGCTGCTACTACTACTACTGTTACTGCTGCTGCTACTAGTATTGTTATTATTATTATTATTATTATTCAAGATTAAGTTGTCCAGATAATTGGTTAATACCCCAAAGGGCAATTAATCTTACTTGATTTTCGGCGTCCTAAAATCATGGGCCAAATTAAACTGACAGAATACTGTTTACATTTTGCTATCTTGGTACACTTACAAAGTTTGTTAAACTTATATTAATATTTTATTTTATTTTATTTCCAAGTTTAAAAATACAAATAAAAATTTATTACTTAAATTTTAGAATAATAAATCATATTATGAATTTAGTAATAACAATTGACCAAAGATTGTTATTAACTTTTCTCTTGTAGTTATGTACAGAGTCTACAATATGAAGAGTACTAGAGATTGCAAGAGTAGAAATCCATAACATCTTGATGAATAATTTATTTTGATTCAATTGTAATCAGTGAATGGGGACACTATATTTGACAATAGAAAATATCTTTTCTCATTTTGAAATGTATTTTAAGTTTGATTCTTTCCATTTTGTACCATCATTAATCTGTTATAATTATAAATCAATTTGATTAAATTATAACAAGGATTAAATGGAAAAAATATCTTGAAACCCTTTCTTCATAGGCATCTGAAATCTTAAACCTTTTTTTAGAGCATATTTGTCCTGAAAGTTTAACAAATAGAGCATTACCTAAAGTTTGATCGAGATATTTTATAATTTTACTCTTTTTTGTTTTTGCTTTTTTATCTTCATTTTCACTCGTGGGGATAAAAAAAGTTAAATAATTCACTAGAGAACAAAATCATAAACTAAACATAGAAGAAATGAGGGAAAAAAATATAAAAAAATATTATCAATCAAACTTTAGTTTAATAGTCCACATTTGTGATTTTTAATGGGGATGAAAATGCTCTGTTTTTTAAACTTTGAGGCAAAAATGTTACAAAAAAAATTTTAAGATATCAGGCGTTATTAAAAAAAATTTGGAGTATTTTTGTCTTTTAACATTTATAACAATAATGTCAATTCAAAAACTATCAAACGTGCACAGTAAAATTTAATCAAACCACATATGTACTATCTCGAAGGATGAAAAACTACAACAACATTCATGAAAACACCCCGCGTAAGAGTTCATATCAGATAAACATTTTGTTTGATGATTTAAAAGATTTGGATGTAATTAACATATGAAGTTAAGAAATAATGAGAAGGATAAATGGGTAAATTATTCCTGAATTTTAGCTCAAATAATTATAGACTATGAATTTGTTTATTATGCAAATTATTTTCCTAACTTTTAAAAATAAGGCAATCTAACCTCTATAGTTATAAAGTTAACCTTAACTGTTAATTAATTGATTAGGAAATGGTAAAAAATAACACCAAAAATTATAAAAAAATTATCAAAAAAATCATAATAAGAGATCTAAAAGTTACAAACAATGTCCTAAAAAAAATAATCATTTTTCCATCATTTTTCGATCAATTAACAATCAAATTTAATTTTTATTAAAGATAGAAGCATGATTGCATTATTTGTCAAAAGTTGAAAAAAACAAGTTTTATAATAAATAAGTTAAGAATCTATGATATTATTGAATTTAAAATTAAAAAGATAATTTGTTCGTCTATGGTGAAGAGAATGTCATGCAACCACCGAGAAATGCAAGTCAAATCACTGAAGTTGAGAAACAACTTATAATTATCCCTCTTTTTTTGGGTGTCACGGAGGCATCTGGTAGTGTGAAGACGCTTGCAATCAATATTCCTCCTTCAGCCCTTAACGGCGAACCCAATTTTTCTTAGCCCCCTTCTGTCCCCATGGTTTGGTTTCACCTGATCGCATCACTGGGCTCTTATTCTTTTTCCAGGCTTTTATTCTAAAGTGTCTGGCTTTTATTACTCTTTGCGTGGTTATTCTAGATTTGTTATTGTCAAAGATATGCCTTGTAACTATATTTAGAACTCGGGAGAATGGGTTTTCAAAAAAGAAAAAAAAAATCCTCCTATTCTCATTTCCATTTTATACCAAACATGGCATAAGAATGTGTAAATGTTAGAAGGAGGAAGATTAATTTCATGTAGGTTGGCATCTTTTCACAACTAAAGCTTTCATGCATGTGGAATAAATTCAAGGGAAAATCGAAGTGAAAAAAAAACGGGTGAAACATTTGAAAAGAAGTAACAAGCATTGAAGATCCTTGAAAGTAATTAATTATAGATTTGCATTGATGATTTTTGAAACTCAATTAAGCACTGTCAATACAGATTCTTAAGGGTGTTTTGAAACTTGTGGCAAATTATAAAAGGGTTGAAGTTGCACAATATGAAATATGCAAATAACAATGATATGTTATAAAATATTATGATTCTTCTCAAGTCCTTAAAGAACTTTCAGACATTAATGATTTTTTTTGTAAAATAACTAAAATACCCCTAGTTTTAAATAAGTAAATAAATATTAGTGACTACTTTAGTTTAAGTAATGATTATTTTTTTTTAATAATGATTAGAATGGAATAATCAATTACAATTTTTATTGTGTAAAATTTTGATTAATTGAAATTCAAGTATTGTAAATATTTGTAACTTTTTTAGTTTAGGGTTAAAGGGCAAAAATGCCCTAGAATTTTTTTTTCAGGGGCGTCTAACACGTAAAAATTTTTTTAAAACATTTTTGTCCCATCGTTAAAAATTACAAATGTTGATTGTTAACTAAAATTTAACCAAGGATTAAATGATATATTTGCCCTATAACTTTTTTTTAAGGGTGCTAGGTATCCTAAACTTTTGTTTGGAGCATATTTACCCTAAAAGTTTCAAAAAGAGAGCAATTTTGCCTTACCGTTAGTATTAATTGCTACGTTGACTTTAATTGCCGTGTGTAGCCACATTACATTTTTAAAAAAATTTAAGAAAATTCACCTAAATAGCAAAATCACCTCCATTAACATCAATAACAACAATAAGAACAACTCCTTGAACAGCAGCCAAGACCAACAACAAGCAATTTAAAATCATTCGAACCTATGCCTATATCAAAAAACAATCAACTATCTGTTAAGTCAATCTATATGAACTCGACCATATGGAAGCTCTCTTCTTCTATATTTGACAATTCCATTACTTCACTCAACTATGACGACTTCACAGACTTCGACCCTGACTCGGACGCTTTTGAGGGCTTCATAGCTACAAACTTGACCATGGCGGTGGTAGCAAAAGCAACAACTTGGATGTTACATGAGGAGCACGTGGCAAGTTGAGGGAGGATGATGATAATCTAGGGGAAGTTAAGAATGTGGATTTGCCTTTGATGGACAAAGCGACAATGTTGTGGGCTTGAGTAGCCATTTCTGGGGGTGAAACTGCCAAGCCAGATGCAAGAATGCTCCATTTTTCAGAGTTCTAAGGTATATAAGCTCTAAACAAAAGTTCAAGATACCTATCGCCCTTGGAGAAAATTTTTTAAGGCAAATATGTCATTTAACCTTAGGTCAAATTTCAATTAACAATCAATATTTGTAATTTTTAATAGTGGGGCAAAAATAATTTAAAAAAAAAGTTTAGGGTGCCACCTATGGCATTTTTGCCCTTTAACCATTTAATTTAAGTCATGATTATTTTTCTCCTAACGATGATCAAAATGAAACAAGTGATAATAATTTCCCCTCCGCATTGCATGTTAGCATCAATTAAATTAAATAGTCTTATATATTATTATTTTTAATGATTTTATTTTAAAAATTTTCTTTCTTGGTTTTTTTTTCTTTTCATCATCAACAACGTCACAATAAATTGACATTTACGTGACATGTTTTTATTAAATGGATCCTAAATCACATGATGCGGGTCTGTTGAAAAATTTCTCATGCGTGAAATTGTGAAGAAGGTGCCTGCATGTTTTGGCTCAGCTTTTGCATTTTCCACAACAACTGAATGTCCGTGGTCTCCCTTAGTTTGGAAGCAAATGTTGAAATGGTCGTGTTATGCAAAAGCATTTGAAGCAAATACTCCTCCTACATGACAATCATTAATTTCCATAATTACTCATATTTTTGTAATTGCGTTTCCTGGTCTTTCTGTGCTTGCGATCAAGCACGATTTCAGGCTTGCGTTTTCATTTATGATGTGTCTTTGCAGTGATTTAGGTTTTATTTAATTTAATGTCTCTTGTTGTCGTCCCTTGCTTTTCTTTAGACAAAATTAAACATTTAAAATTCAAATCTAAATTAACAAGCCAAGTCAATATATATACCATCATCCGTGTTCAATACATATTATAAAACTTGGTTAATTAATCTCAAAACCTTACTGTAGTCTAATTAATCAAGCCGTTCTCTTTGTTGGTCTTGTCACAATTTTTATTTCATGTTAGATTCAGAATTGATACTTTTTTTTTGCTTATTTTTTCATCTGTGGACTTGTTTAATTTTTATTTGAAAATTTATTTTCAGTTAATACTTAGCAACGTCCATTGCATAAGGATCTTCTAGTTAATAGAGAAGTCAATTAGTCAACACTCAATTCATTTCCTTGTATCTTCGTCTCCATCCCTTTCTCTCACGTTTCTCTCCCTTATCCCTTCTCTCACATTTCTCTCCCCTTAAAGCCACCGTTACTCCCTCTCATCTCTCAATGTGCCGCTAGCCCAATATCTGATTCTGAAGCTCGCTCACTTTCATGGCTATACCCTTTAATATCTTCTTCATTGCCCTTCTCTTGCTTCAACTTTATTTGGCTTTCGCAAACATCGCTCTGAACTCAACGCTCTCCACCAACAACCCAAATGTTTCATGGCCCTCCTCTTTAGGTGAATTCATTTTGGATTTTGCCAAATCAACAACAGCTCAGACCTTTTCATGCTTTCCATCTGGTTCAACCAAATACCAAATAAGACCATTGTCTGGAATGCCGACATCCGAGTTCCAGTGCCATTAGGATCCAAGGTTCAACTCACATCAACTGGTCTCTCACTCACCAACCCCTAAGGCCAACTTATACGAGAAGTTATACAATTACAAGAAGCTATGTCCTATACAGAATTGCTTGATAATGGAAATTTTGTTCTCGCATCCTCTGACTCTAATTCATATTTGTGGCAAAGTTTCCTCAATCCTACTGATACACTCTTACCTGCATAAGTTTTGAATCTAACCAATACCTTGTCTTCTCGATTGACACCAACCAATTACACAAAGGGAAGGTTCGAGCTTTATTTTGATAATGGCAAGCTCTCCTTGAGTCAGATTGGGTGGCCTACTGAATCTCATTACAGCCCTTATTTTGAACTGCTTACGGGTTCAAATAACTCTGCATCACAACTAGTATTCAATTCATCAGGAAATATTTATGTAGAGACGTAGAGTGGAGATCAAATAGCACTTGGATTAGATGATTCAAGGCCTGATGTTAGCAAATATTACTACAGGGCCACACTTGATTATACTGGAATTTTTTTATTATATTCCCTTCCAAGGGCATCCGATAAAGATTGGTCAACTATTGGGCATGCCGTTCCTGAAAACATTTGTACTGTCTCAACTGATGAAAATTTGGGTAGTGATAATTGTGGCTACAATAGCTATTGCTCCTGGGATGACATCAACAAGAGGCCAAGGTGTACATGTCCCGAAGGATATTCCTTGGTAGATCCAAACAACGAATTTGGAGGATGCCAACCAAAATTTCCCCTTGGTTATGGAGCTGATGATGCTTAATCACGAGAAAATCCAGAAGAGGTATATGATATGAAGCCTTTAAAGCATGTGAATTGGGCTTTTGGAGATTATGAAAGATTGAGCAATTATACTGAGGATGAATGCAAAAGATCTTGCTTGTATGATTGTAATTGTGCAATTATTATATCTAACACTGTAAAGGAATGTTGGAAGAAAAGATTACCCTTTTATAAGGGAAGAAGTCTTGCAAGTAATAATGTTGCAACAACAGCTCTTGTGAAAATAAGAATTCAACTAGTGGTCACCCTTAATCCTATAATTAAAAGGGAAGATCGGCTCAAACCTACTCTGTTAGGGTTCTTATTCGCTCTTTTGTTGTTAATACTCTATTGGTAGCTACGTTAGTTTTGATTATTATCTTTAAGCCAAAAAAGGTTGCTCAGGTTTCAAGTCTTGTGGAAACAAATATTCACTCTTTCACATATAAAGCACTCAAGAAGGCAACACATGACTTCAATGAAGAAGTGGGAAAGGGTTCCTTTGGCATTGTGTACAAAGGCACCCTTAGATCAATAACCAACAATGTTGTTGCAGTGAAAAGATTGGATAGATTAGTTCAAGAACGGGAGAAGGAATTCATGAATGAGTTGAGTGTTATTAGAAAATCATGCCATAAAAATTTGGTACAATTGATTGGGTTCTGTGATGAAGGAGTCCATAGACTATTAGTGTATGAGTTTATGAGCAATGATACTCTTGCAGATATTCTATTTGGAAATCTTAAACCCAATTGGGATTTAAGGGTTAACTTTGCTCTAGGAATTGTAAGAGGATTGCTTTACTTACATGAAGAGTGTGAGGCTCCCATAATTCACTATGATATAAAACCTCAAAATATATTGATCGATGGAAATTTCGTGCCAAAGATCTCAAATTTTGGGTTGGAAAAGTTGATGTATTCCAATAAGAGCCAAACCCATACGATGATGAAAGGAACAAAAGGATATGTAGCACCAGAATGGTTCAAGAATGTTCCAGTGACTGCTAAGGTGGATGTGTACAATTATGGAGTAATGCTGTTAGAGATAATTTGTAACAGAAGAAGCGTGAAGATGGATATTGAAAAAGGGAAGGAAGAAGAGGAAATACTAATAGGTTAGGCCTATGATTGCTATATGGAGGGAAGAATAGACATTATGGTAGAGAAGGATGAGGAGGCCATTGCTAACATAGGAAGGCTAAAGAAGTGGGTGATGATAGCGATGTGGTACATTTAAGAGAATCCAAAATTAAGGCCTACCATGAAGACAGTGATGCAGATGTTAGAAGGCTTTATTGATGTCCCAAATCCACCCTTGCCTTCGTCCTTCACCTCAATAACTTGAGGGATGATGTTTTGGAAACAAGAGTTCTATGCCAAGTATTATCACTATTGTAATAAGTGACTACTTGTCAATTAACATTCATCACATCTTTTTCTTTCTATGTAGTTCATAATTCTTATCATTGCAAATGATTATTTGTTTGTTAGGGATGTGCATGGTTTTGTTATCTATAGTTATACTTTTTTTTTAATTTGTTTAACAAAGTCTGCTAGAATTATAATCCTTTTGTTAGTTTGTTAATAGTTGAATAGTACTTGTTTTTGTGACTTATATATGTAGTTTGCAAGTCTTTTTAAGAAATACATGTGCATTTAAGATCTCATGATCTCACCAGTTTTCTGTTCATCCGAAAGCATTTGTTTATTAGAGAATGTCTTTATTAAGGTTTAAAAAATTGGACCGGATCCGTACCAACTAGTTCTACAAAGAAATGGTCCAATGTTTGATTTGGTATAGTGTAAGTAGCAATGGTCCAATGAACTAGTCAATGGGTTAATGAATTGGTGCTATTTATTAATATATACGCCAGTAGATTGACCGATCTATATGGTTAAAGAAAAATGAAAAGATCCCCAAAAATGTAGAAACTTATAGCTGAAGGTGACGGACACTGTTTGAAAAGGAAGAACAAAGGAAACAATAAGGGAGAAAGGGAATTTCGCCCAACAAAAATAAAAGAGAAAGGGAAAGAATAAAAGTTAAAAAGAGGTACCAAGAAAATATTATTGTTTTTTTAAATGCCATGGAGAATGATAAATTAATATTGTAGAGAAATAAGTGGAGTGCCGGCTAGACAAAGGCGCAAGGCGGAGAGATCATGCACAAGTTTAAAAATTTCAAACCCCATCATAATCTACTTATCAAAAGAACATCTCACTTGCTAGGAGCATAACTATTCAATTTAATTTAACAATTGTTAGAGATGATTATTTTATTGTTTCTAATTTTTTTTTTCAAAAAATATATTTTAATAATTTTTAAGTATTAATAAAATTTAATAATTATAATCAAAGCATTCATTAAGTGAGTGGATTTAGATCACTCATCAAATCCAAAATGAAAATTAATATCTCTATTAACTCCATCCATCCCCTCAACTAAAAAAAAATATGGTTATTATTTAGCACCTTGTGCTTTCTACTCTGAATCTCTAATCCATATTTATCTTTAATGTTAATATGATGAAACATTACTTTATAATCTTTCTTTTTGAAACTTTATATATAGATATTTTTAATCTTTTTCTTTCCATAGGGTTCGTGATAGTTTTTGTTTTTTAACTAAATTGTTAGGAATTTGATTTTTAACTCTCATGCATAGAACGAGCCTAGTTGAGGGAACTTTACCTTTTATCCTTGATACTCCAATAGAAATTAGTCCATATTGTCCTAAAACAAAAAAATTACATGAGCTATTTTTGCTAGACAGGTCCACTTATCTTTGCCGTGCTCATTATTCCATCCTAGCTTTTCCATTCTAAAATTACGTGCAAGAGTAAGACTATTTTCAATTATGAGCCACACCTTTCCAACCATTTGATTTGTGCTTAAGCCCACCTTTGAATTATTCTCTCTGTGCCAAACAATCTTCTTTCCTTTGATTTGACCAAAAATAATTGATAGTGAAACAACCCCAGCTCGGAATTTATATTTAACCAGGTCCTACCATAGGAAAAAAAAAGAATAACTTAACTATCATGGTAGAAAAAGAACTATCCTTACTTCTATCATAATATTTAAAGCAAGCCTAGTTAATTAACATGAGCTCCTACTATAGTAAGAAACCATAGCAAAAAAAAAAAAGGTTAAAAGTATTGATTTCATAATAAAATTATAATTAATTAACTATCCACATCTACAGTAGTAGAAAAGAAATAACCCTACACAGTTATAGCTCAGATAAATGATAAAGAAAATAATAAATAAAAACAAAAACAAATGAAAGGTATACTCATGCCTCCAGTCAAATCTCCTTAACTTAGGGCCCAAAGACTAAAAGAACAATACAATCCAATACGAAAATAAATATCAATTAAATAAATACAATGTCTAAGCTAGGTGGCCTTAGGTGTGGTACGAGCTTCTTCCTCTAAGGCCATAGATCTCATGAAGTTGGTAGTCTCTAATTCTATTCCCTTCCGTGAACTCCGCTATTGCTTCCTACAGTAATTAAGAAAGATGTGAGACAATGTCGCAATAACCTCTCAAAGGTTATGGTGTATCATGGCTTTTCACTTCATATGGATAGTCATGACAAGGAAATTCTAAGTGTGTCTCAATTTAAAGCAACAATCCCTACTAGCTAGCATGCTTGAGAAGGTTTTCTCTAATATATAACTATCTCATAGATAACACAAACATGCTAGAAAAGTTTCATTAATAACACAAGAATTGAGATGAAAGATGTGAAAATCCATCAACCTTATCTAGTAATTCAAGTATATACTATCTAGAGAACATCAATGATATCAAATCAATATTATAGTCAAAAAATATAAACAATTTGAAGGACAATATTAAATGATTAAAAGTCCATTTTATTTCATATTAAATTATTCCTTATTTCCTCAAGTTGAAGCCTTTATGCAAAAGGAGCTATAACTTAGCCAAAAGCTTCGTTACTCCATATTAAGCTTAGCTTCCCCCTTCAATCGAAAGGGGTGCCCAAAAAGATATGGAACTTATTCCAAACCCAGTCAAAGAAATTGGGTAGTTTGGGCATAGAATAAATAACATTCTTTTCAAATGGGAACCAAGTTTTCACTATTAAATAAATAAATATTATTTAAAATAAAATTAAATTAGAGTTATAGAGTATTCAAAAATATAAGATATCAATCGTTTGAAAAACATTGAAGAAAATGGGTAAAACATGTCATTTCACAAAATTTTAGATCATTCGCCATAGCCAACGATGCATTCATCACAATAGATCACGTTGAAGCTAATTTAGTATATATAATAGGCAACGTTCTATACATCAATAGTAAAGGTAATTTTCTTTGAATTTTAAAGTTCTGGGTCTACTATGCTATTAGTGCAATAGTTTAGGATCTGTGGTGCTTATTAACAAATGACACATCAACATTTTGACAGGAGCCTACTAAATAATAGTAACGATGTTAAGTATAAGTTAACGGTGGGGTAATTTGCTATAAATTTAAAAACTTATGATCCATTTTACACATTTTAAAAGTTCAAGATCAGGGCTTTATTCACATCATACTTCAGAGTTTAGAATGCTCGTTAACCTTATATTATTATTTTTTGTGGAAACTTGAAATTCCCAAATATAATTTATTCACTATTTATCAAGATTCTTTTTAAAAAAATAAATCTTAACAATATTTGGTTTCAATATAATTTAAATAATATTAAATGTAATTTCAAAAAAAGTTAAGATCTTATTTATTTAATGTCACTCAACCTTGTGAATTTCTCTTTCCTCTAAAATATATCTTGAAATCAAATCTTAATATTTTATTTTAAAAACGATTTTATCTTATTTTTAAATTTAAAAATAATTTTAAGGGATTTTCTGGAGATGAAGGATGTTATAAATAGGCCTAAAATATATATTTTTAAGGAATAGTAGTAACTAGAGCAATAGCCTCATATAACAATATTGCATAGCTTTTAATTTTTTTTTAAAAATACATGTTCATTAAATTATGCCATAAAATAATAGAACATGCAGTATACTATAAATCAAGGAGAAAAGGTTTATTCTAAAAAAAAATTGTATAATTAAAATTTAGGGTTGCACAACCAACCTCAATCTAAATTGGAGAAACCTAGTCCAGTTCAGTCTAAGTAAAAAATGACTAGACCAAAATAGAAAAACCAAATTGATCTTCGGGCTAGACCAAACTCTAGATCGAGTGTCCAAACCAGTCAGTTTCATGAATATATATATATATATATATATAATTTCAAAGATTGCTTTTCCTTTACGCTGTAAGGGTCTTCTTCCTCCAATTTCTTGCGCTGCTTCTACACAAAAAGCCCCACCTTTCCCTTTGACTATTCTAGAATCAAAAAGCAATCCAGAAGAGGTGTATGAGATGAAGACTTTGCAAAATATGAATTGGCCTGGCGGAGATTATGAAAGGCTGATCAATTTCACAGAGGATGAATGTAGAAGATCTTGCTTGAATGATTGTAATTGTGTAGCTGCTATTTTCAACAACGTAGATACCTGTTGGAAGAAAAGACCGCCCCTTTCTAATGGAGTACTACCTACCAGTGGCGGTGTTGGAACTACAACTCTAATGAAAATAAGAATTCGACCAATGGGTGACAATAATCAGGCTATGAAAAAGGAAGATCAGGTCCGTTATGCTCTTTAGGGTCTCCTGTTGGCTCCCTTGTCATGAATACTTTATTAGTAGCCACAATTGTTTCAATTATTCTCTCGAAGTCAAAAAAGGCTACTCAAGTTTCAACTCTTGCTGAAACAAATATGCACTCTTTCACGTATCAAGCATTGAAAGAGGCAACACACGAGTTCAATGAAGAAGTAGGAAGGGGTTCATTTGGCATTGTGTACAAAGGAACACTCAAGTCAACAACCGATACTGCTATTGCGGTGAAGAGATTGGATAGAATAGCTCAAGAACGTGAGAAGGAATTTAAGAATGAATTGAGTGCTATTGGAAAAACATGCCACAAGAACTTGGTTAGGTTGATTGGGTTCTGTGATGAGGGAGTTCATAGAATTCTAGTATACGAGTTCATGAGCAATGGTTCTCTTGCAGATATTCTCTTTGAAAAATCCAAGCCCCTTTGGAATATGAGGGTTAACTTTGCTTTTGGAATTGCAAGAGGATTGTTTTACTTACATGAAGAGTGTGACACTCCTATTATTCATTGTGATATCAAACCTCAAAATATATTGATTGATGAATATTTGAGGGCAAAAATCTCAGATTTTGGGTTGGCCAAGTTGCTGTATTCTAATAAGAGCCGAACCCATACAATGATAAGAGGAACGAGAGGATATGTAACATCAGAATGGTTCAAAAATATTCCAGTGACAGCTAAAGTGGATGTGTATAGCTATGGCGTGATGCTGTTGGAGATAATTTGTTGTAGAAGAAGCGTGGAAATGGATCTAGAAGATGAATTGGAGGAGAACAAGGTGATACTAACAGATTAGGCTTATGATTGCCATACAGAGCGAAGAATAGACATTTTGGTAGAGAATGACAAGGAGGCCATTGCTGATATAGGGAGGTTAAAGAAATGGGTGATGATAGCAATATGGTGCATTCAAGAGAATCCAGAAATAAGGCCTACCATGAAGATTGTGATGCAAATGTTGGAAGGCCTTGTTGATGTTCCACATCCTCCATCGCCTTCATCCTTCACCTCAACAGTTTGAGGGTCGCAGCTACGGAGGAGTCTTATGGCAGACACTATCACCGTAAATGAATTGCTTCTTGATGTCAACAAACATCCGGGGTTTTTTTTTTCCCTATGTCGTTCATAATGATTGTCATTACAGTTAATCATTTGTTTAAGTCATGTGCATGGTTTTGTCGTCTGAATGTCTTAACTAAAAGAATAAACTTTCTGTTTTGTTAAGAGGTGATGTTAATTTAATATGTTCTTGTGAGTTGTGACACTAACAAAGTATGTATGTATCTCTAAAAATGTGTTTAAGCCCCCGCAGCCTCACCACTTGGTGCTTCCTTTTGTTTTTGTTTTTTTTCCCCCGTATGACCGCTTTACTTTGTTCTGCCTTAATGTTTTCGCTAAGTGGAGAACGTTTATATCTGGATAGCATGCTTTAGAAAAGATATCAGGCAAGATATTCGGAGAATATAACAATTCTCTAACGTTTTTACCAATTTCGATTTTCGGTAGACCCAAATATGAGACTGATGATGAGCAATAAATTGGCTAAATTTCACATCAAATATTTTGATGGTGGCAACTGGGGAGAAGGAGACAGAAGTCCGTTGGCAGTCTGTTTGTTACTTCACTGGACTTCGATCCTAATGTTGTTCAATATGGTTGTCATTGTGACCCGTTTTTGTCTGTCAGGCATTTTCTCTTCGTCCGTCAGCCGTGCTTCTAGAATACGTTCCACTACGTATACAGAAAAATAACAAGACTTTTTTTTTTCTTTGCCTGAAAAAGTAACAGTAATTTGAGGTTGGGTTTTTACATACGCTGATCGGAAAATAATAATTCGGCTAATCATTTGCCGCCGTGGACTGCAGACCCTTTTAAAAAAAAAACAAAAAACAAAATAAAGGTCTTCGAGTAATTGATTAATACACAAGAAAACAAAATCAATCCCGCTTAGGTAAGTTGACTTTTAAAATATCATTTGTAGGTTCATCTTGCCCAACAAGCAGGCACTGCGCTAATCTACAGGAGGGAAGTGATCTTGCTAGATCATTATGTATGAAAACACAACATCTGAGTACATGCACAAGCGAAGTGAGTAAAGAGTTCCTTGAATGCCGAGGATATCAAAAAGATTACACATAACTGGGTTCACCCAAGACCCAAGATACCCAGAACCTTCATCCTTACTTCCCATCTCCAGATTTCTTTGAAACGACAATGACATTGAAGTTAAGAGAGTCAGGATTTTTCTGGATCACGCCCTGTATGACTTTAGCTGCATCCTGTTGTGGAACAAGCAACAAATTAGTGATTCAAAAATTGAGCAGTTTTTCACCCAAATAAAAACTGAATATTTCCCACATAACAGCATGTTCCGTGTGTAATGAAGACAAATAAGCAACATGAATGGCAGAAAAGCCAGCAAATTGTTCCATGATCGGGATATCGAAACAGACACGATTCAAGGGCTGAAATGTTCACATCAAAGCTTAATAAAATAGGCTGAAGGTTCATCAAATTTTGATAACATTGCACTGGAGAGGCGTATGCAAGGCATATGGCATATGTAGAGGGAGAAAGGTAAAGGGAGAGAGTCTCCAGATACCAATTTAAAGTACCAGGAACTCTATTCCACCAAGTTGTTCTTCTCATGTCAAGTGAGAATCCAAAGCCCTCTCAGTAGACAAAAATACATTTGTCACTTGTGTTTGTATATTTGCATACGTGTTTTTATATATAATTTAAATATATTTGGCAAACAAACTCCATCCTTTCCCAAATACGAAACTTTCTGCAGCCAAAGAAAAGATTAAAGATATTTTGGTTATGGGACGCAATGATATTTACCCTCAATAGAGTATTTGGTGAGGATTGACCATGAGATATAGGTCCTGACTTTCTTCCATCAAGCTCATAAAGTTCACCTGCATATGACACAATTTGCGCATAACTTTTCCTACTGTTTCCACTTCTTAATAATACAATTAAAATCAACTATATCAAGAAAGTACCATCCACACAAGCAAAGCAGATGAAATGAGCGTTCACATCAACCAATGCCTGCATAAAAAATAAAAAATAACAAGGTAAGATAAGGAGAAAACAAATTACTTGAAGAGCCTAGCATCAATATAGTCAATTAACATTTCACATCCCCTGGTCATCCATACTCTTTGGCGGAATCACAGAGAGTATAATGTCTTGCTTGAGAGGCAACCATAGGAGTATGACATACGATAAGTGTCTTCTTCCAATTTGCATTCATTTCATTCCTTAACTATTTGCGGAAAATATTTTTCTCGATCCCAATAGTTTGAAACAAGCACTAAAATTGTTTACTATTCATAAATCAAACTACATCAAACTATTACACTGTGACAAAGTGAAAAATTTAAATGGTTATTTAATTAATTTGTATAAGTTCTGCCACTCACTTCCTTCTCCACAATCCACTTATATTGGGAATAAGATCTTCAAATTAAAACCATATTTTCACACCTTGACTAACTGCTGTTTGTTTAAACTCATGTGGGGTCTTCCTTTCTATGCACGATAAAAACTAAAAGCATATATCAACTTTCCCATGGTTAACCATCTAATATTCTAGACTATTTTAACTTGTTTCTAAATCCATTAGTAGTCTGCCACACAAAAACTAGGAATATTCTGCCCCAAATTGCCATATTCAAACTTCCAATATCCCTTATCACAGAAGAAAACTCAAAGCAACTTGCATTGTTTTCAGATATTAATAATTACCTTACCACATCTGAATATTAATATAACAAGGGTGGCAAACAAGCTACAACAATACAGGAGAATCTTTTGAGGACATGAATATCAATCTTAAACCGCTGCACCGTCTAATGTCACATCATTCCCCATTTAATGCTGCTTCATGAATAAATTACCTCTGTATCACCAGCAGTGGCAGCTACTGAATGAGCAACTTCCATTTCTCTGTCATTCTCAAGAAATGCTGCACGCTATATAATATAAAAGTAAGAGAATGCTAAATCATCATAAAATTGCCTTATCAACTGCCTATGCCTGCATAAGTGGGCAGTATGAGGGGAAAACAAAGGAGGGGTAGGAGGGATGTCAAACCTGTAATGGGTCCATGCTTGCAGTAGCTTTGAAGAACCTATCAAAGAATGATCCCTCAGCTGAAATAAGCAAAAGCAATAAGAATAACAGTTCGTGAGAAGTAACACTTGGTGTAATAACTACTTAAACAGGGGCAGACTAGTTATTGCAAACTTACTAAGTTTGATCTCAGATGTTATGTTCCCAAGAGCATGAAGAAGTCCTATGGTACCACAAGCATTTCCCACAGTTTGCTTCATAAAATATACTCTAGTGTTGTGCTGCTACATAAATAAAACAAATAAGCTATAGTTCAAACATACAGTTTTGATGAAACTGAAACCAAATCAATAGCACCACATATGCCACTCAAAAGTACAGCTTCTTGAGCTATTTTAGTAGGTAATGGAACATGTAAACTGGTGTGCATGCAGCGCAGTGAAAAAATATATGTGACTCTTCCAAGCGGAATATAAATACTCCAAATTAGACGAAACGAATGGTGAAATGTCACAGGATGTATGTTTTTAGAGAAAGCATATATACACATCTATTCACTCACCTTTTTTTCATTTTCCTGTTGCAACCGCTCTTCCTCGGTCTGATAAGAAACGAAAGCAGGCGCAATAGTTCATTAAAAAGCATACATGCAGTACAGATATAATTAACGTCAACAAAAACTATTTGTTACAGAGGTCTGATCCGTATGAAAATAACCTTTGAGGTTAAGGGATAAAGAAAAAGCACAGCAAGTACAGGCTCGGGAACCATTTCCAGTAGTTGTTCATCCAGACCATACACATCATAGCACTCTGCCTCGTTTTCTGGAAGGCCCAGTCCCCAAAGGAACTGCAAATCATTGAAATTAAATACGTAATTAATCATCAGTTTTTGGGTAAAACAGAAAGGCACACGGAGTGAGTCTAAGATCTCCAGCAAAATAATTAAAACCCTCGCCACTAGATTCACTTTCATCATTTTTTATATCAAGAGAATGTAATGCAAGAAACTACACTTCTGTAAAATCAGGGGGGAAATGTCAAAGAAAAGGTTAGTTCACAGATTTAAAGCAAATAATTGTCTTAACTCCTAATCTGAGTATGTCATTAAGTTGCTATATAACATCCGTGATGAATAATCATGAAGTTAAATTTTCATATTTGTGTTTTCAAAGCTTACATCATGCTTTCAAGTCCAAATAGGGATAGATTCTTCCAGCGGCCTATTAGCTATAACACGGAGATCCAAGTCGAAACTCGAAACACGAAAGATGCTCAATCTTGTCGCCTAACTAAGCAAAAAAGGTGCTCAATCTTCTACACCAATTTCTTGAACATTAATCTCAGAATTTATTTGCGGACAAAAAACTCTCACAACGAAATAAAAACGTAACAGACGTTTCAAATTTGGCGATAACAAGAAACGAGCTCGAACTAAACTAAAACTGTTCTCGGACATTAGTATTTTAAAAGAAAAATAAAAAGAAAGCGTGAATTGAAGGGTGGAAAGTGATAGAATAAAATGATAGGAATACCTGGTTCATCACATCAGGGTTAGCTTCGAGAGGAAGCCATCTTTTCGCAGAGGCGCTTTCGTCCATATTTCAAGTGCTCCTTCTTCTGCTGTAGACTAGAAGCAAATTTTACAGGCAGATTGGAACTCCACTTTGTTTTTCGCCTGGGCTTGCGTCTGGTATTTATAGGCCTTTGTCTATTGCTAAGCATGGGCCTAATGAAATTGGGCCCAGAAATCGACAGCGGCCAAACCCTTATACGGGTTTCTATTCCTCACATTTGCAATCAAAAAAATATAATTTTAAATTCTTATACTTTACTTATATTTTATTATAAATTTTTATATTTTTTTTATATTTTAAATTTTTACACTTCTATTTTTAAGTGTTCTAAGTTCTAAAGCAAAATATAAGAACCTAAAACCCAAATAAAATTCTGAAGACTTAGAGCAAAACGTAGGAATCCAAATATATGTTTTCCCTTCCAATTATATAGAACGTTTGTGCTAAAGTTTAATTTTTTTTTAACAATTCCAAGTCATGATATCATATTTTTAGTTAGATGATCTGATCACGAAAATTTTTATTTAATATAAGAATTTTAAAAAAATTACTTCTAAACAATTCTGGTTATATGTAAGATAATTCAATATATGTTTCACAAAGAAATTATTAGTTTGAAAATTTGGAGAACTTAAGACAGATGACATGGTTCATGCTGTCACGTTAAATAAAATATTGATGGTATTCTTAAGGCTGTCATTAATAACAATGATTTCACCACAGCAAGAATATGAATCCGCCTGGACACGCAGTAGTTTCCAAGATACCGGGTATGGAAATTAAAGAAAAAACAGGGCACTTGGTTTAGTAATTTATGCACATTGGACTATCAAACTAAAGAAAAATGTAGTTGAAATTGGATGCTTCACCGGAAATGCACATGCACTTGTTCCTTGCAAGATCCAACATTTGAAAAAAGATAAGAAACTAATTCTATAATGCCGAAAGGTTATTGGAATCTAAGGCTGAAGGGCGAATAGGGATAATTTTCCAATTTAAAGTGTTCCGCCATGATTTTATTTGTTGGTGGCCAAACCGTGATGAACGTTTAGAGTTTGCCAATTGCGATACAAATTGAGGCAATTTTTTTGGAACTGAGGGTGCGATTGGATCATTGATTGAAGCAAGAGGAGCGTGGATGTTTCTTTCATTGGCCTTCGTAGATGGGCTTGCGCTTCTCAACAAAAGCAACCAAGCCTTCCAGCCTATCTTTGGTATTCAACGTCATCTCATAGCATTCTTCTTCCAAATCTGCTGCTTCTTCTGGATTACTCACCAACAAGCCCTCCTCTATTGCTCTTTTTCCTGCCTTTATAGCTATTGGACCCTGCAACACAAAACCCCGCATTCACAATTCCTGTTCCCTCTTCCTTATCATCATCATTTCCTTTCTTTTCACTCTCACTCTCATCGTTTTACCTTGTCATTGATAACCCGAGCAACCTCCATTGCTTTTGAATAAGCTTCCCCAGCAGGAACACAGTAATTCGCTAGACCTACTCACTCACGGAATGGTGCAGTTGTTAAAAATCTTTTCTTTCAAGTGATCAAAGCAAAAATCCATAGTTAGGTTCTAGGAATAAGCATACCCAGAGATTCTGCTTCTCTGCCCCGAACCCTCCTTCCTGTCAATATCAGATCCTTTGCTATCGCCTTATTTATCAACCTGGGTAATCTTCTTGTGGCTCCAGCCCTGTCATTAACCCCACCATTCCATTATGAATTTATCTCCCAATCGCTCGATCCTACTTTCTCATCAATGTCACTTTCCCTTATCCTCAAAATTTCCTAAACCAGTGAATACTCAATTATGCTCAACCAAGCTTTACCTACCATACTTGCGGCTTTTTTGGGTTTCAAAAAGTGAAACCATTCCACCGCAAGAAAATTGATATTTAAGGATGACCAAGCAACGGGATGCTGCAGTTAATTGCAAAGACTCGTAATTTTTGCTAACAAGCAGGTTATTGGTGCATTAACTTCATGCAGATCCAGCAATATGACTATAACAAGAGGCTGCAGCATGGAGGTTAAACAGACTAATTCACCTTCTAAGGAAAAATTATAAGCGACTCAAATTCTCCACTTGGCTGTTCATTTCCCAGCATAGAACACCATGTTTTCCAATTCCCACCATAATATCTTGCAAATCTCTTTTTAAACCATTAATACTAGTGAGCATAACTGATCAGACAAATAGTTACAATATACCGATGACAATTTATAGAGTTATAGAGATAGCATACCCAGGGATTATAGCGTGTCCAGTTTCTGGCAAACCCAAGAGAGCCTCTTCTCCTGGTCATGCAAGGAAGAATACTGTTAGTGCCAATTAGTTGCGTTCCATTCCAAATACTCAAACCAATTAACAACAAATTAATGTTAAGGAAATAATCTTTAGATATAGAAGTACCGCAGATACGAAAATCACATGCCAGGGCAAGTTCAAGTCCACCACCCAATGCTGCTCCTTCAACTACAGCAATAGTTGGTATAGGAAGTGCCTGTATAAAGAGATTAAATTTTTATGGGATTTCTCTTAGTTTATAAAGATGCAAAGACAGAAATAGAATTAAACCAGAGAAAATCCATGATAGAAAATTATCTTATAAACATAGAAACGAAGGGGGTGCTACATCTGCCATTTATGTTCATGAGACAAAACTGATTATTAGAATTAACATAATTGACTCATCAACAAACCTCTAGATATGAGAATGTGGCACGAAGAGCTTTCGAATATTCCCTAACCTCAGATGCACTAAAGGTCTTGCGTTCCTGGAATCCCATTGACATAAAAATTATAAGACAAGCACGCGGTTTCTGCTACATATATATATTTATATAGGGAAAGAAATGAAAATTTTGAGCAATCTTTCCCAGTGACTATTGCTGCGAGTATATCGAAGAAAATTTAAATCACAAACAGTTTAAAATGCACTATTTATTTTTTAATCTAATTGAGATAAACAAGAAAGCTGGTTTATTACCTTAAGATCAGCCCCAGCACAGTAAACCCCAGGAACCGAACTAGTGAAAATAGCAACATTAGCCGACGAGTCCTGATGAATCAATTCTAATACATGCTTCAAGCCTCTCATCAATTTAGTGTCTATAGCATTCTTATTTTTAGGCCTGTCCAAGGTAGCCTCAAGAATCCCTGTAAAGAAAAAGGTGAAAAGGATCGGTAGTAGTAAATACACGAGAACAAGAAAGAAAAGAGGAGCCGAGACTCGGGGAAGAAGTTTACACCACCAGAACAAGAACTTAATAAACAGAACTAGGAAGTTGCAGGAATGTTAGATGGACAAGGATACCAGAATCGGAGCCGTCAAGTTTTCGAAGCTTGACATATTCAGAACCCAAAGGCTCCAAAATGAGAGTCCTTCGACTCTGGTAATGAGGGTGCCATCGATTGGGAGTGCAGGCATCAGCTTGCTGAGATGCGGCTATGAAGCTCACCCATGAAAGCTTGTCAATGGGAGTGGAAAATTGGGAGTATTTTCGACCAACAGATCTTCGCAGTGCCCTGAAAGTGTACATGTTTTAAGGTCAGAGTCTTGGGGGAAGAATCGAGGGCAAGTTCACAATGACACCGAAGAAGAAGATAGAACCCCGCAGGTTCATCTAATCTATCTAATAATAATAATATAAAAAAGGCGCACCCATATCGAGATGATTACGAAAGGAATTCCATCTTATTACGGTAATGGAGAAGGGGCAGTCGAGCATAACTATTTCACCGAATATGATCTTCGTGGGAACATGACAACTCGCAATTAATTTGAAAACTTCATATATATTATTGGACAAATGGATTCCCTCTTTTTTTATTATTATTATTATCACTGTTACCCAGATAACGATAATGGCTTTAAAAAAATCAGACATTATTTTTAGTTAGATAATTTTTTTAAAATTTTCCTTTTTGAGAATTCAAGATTTTTCTATTTTGAGTAAGACGGACTTTTTGTCAGAGTTTTCCTCGGTCGCCACTTATTTATTCCCAGAGCGGTCCCGGTTCCAAAAGGGGGTTTGGCACGAGCAAAAAAGAGCGATACCTCTTCATTTCTTTTTAATTTTAAAAATATTTTATAAATGTTATACTTTATAGAAATAATAACAAATTAGTAACATAATACCCAGGGGTTGTTGTTTGGCTCTCATTCTCACCACCGAAATGCAACTTGTCTAGCATGAACTTTGTCTATGTTGCTTGTAAACTACAGGCAGCATACGGCAGCACCAGAAAGATTTAACAGTTCATTTGACTGCTTGAAAATGGACGTGTTACTAACTACGAATTTTTTTAACTGGATCAGAACATCCCCAGACGGCCAGAGCTAGAGGCCAGACCTTAGTATGAAAAACTTTCAATTTCTATGAACCCATCGCTCAAGCCGAAGTTGCTTCAGAGCAGGCCCGATGTTTGATTTGCCCTTCCGAGGGCACTTCCATTTCCCTGTAATCTCCATGTTATTACATATTTCAATATTCGTTACTTCTGCAAGTGCCTTTCTCTTCATATCGCCTTCTTTCTTGCACGCCGTAGAATCTCTTCCCCTGTTTGTTGAATCCTGTGATGATTTCTCTCGTGTTTTCTTCCAACAGTTTTCGTCCTTTGCTCCACCGTCTCTGCTCTTCCTCGTCGTCATAAAACCGTTCATGGACCCCATATCTCCATTCTCTTTCTCTCTCAACCGAGTTGACTTCCATTCTGAGAATACGTTTGCTGAAGTTGTTGCACTCGAGCCACTATTTTCATGTTGGATCATTGCTTTTGAAATAGCTTCTTTCATATCAGTCTTCTGTAACGTATCTGGAGGCCTCTTACAATTCTTGTCCATTGACATTAGAGCGTGATCTCCTTTACACCCACCACTTCTATGACTCAAGCTCAAAGTCTCACCCTTGGCTGGATTAACATCATGTTTTGACATTCTATCTTGTGTAAATGGCTGCGGAACCTTTTCCAAATGGCCGAAAGTACTGGCAAAAGGAATACCTTCCTTCATTTCAACACTGCCATCGTCCTGTGCATCCAAACAAGAAAATTAGCATGTAAATATGGCTTGGGACATTTCATTTACCTGGATTCTTGCGTTAATTCGACCTTATTTGCTTTTAGAAACAACCTATGCATAAACAGATTGCAATGGTGGAAGAGGGAGCAAAAGGGGCATGCCCTCTTCTCGTATGATCAGCTACTTGTTAATTGTTACAATGGAGATGAAAATGAGTTCTATAGTTCTTCTCTTTCAACCTCTTCGCAGTCAGTAAACTGAATATTTGTTTTGGAGAAGGAAGAGCTTACGCCTGAAATTTTACATGTGAATCTGATGGAGTATAAATGCATGTTGACACTTGACAGTTTTCTTTTAATGAAAGGATATGGAAAACTCACATGGTACAAAAGAAAAGAGCAGGGACCAAGTGCTTAGTTTATCAGACTGTGTCAACTTCCGACCGACTTACATCCTAAAAGAGGATCAGTAAACAACACAAATTGCAAATGGAGATTATCTGCCAACCTAGCAAACCAACGTGTACATTTATTCACCAAATTATGGTCAAACCATGTCCCACATTAACACCTTAGCCCTTCACGAGGGTCTGTATTATCGCCCAAGTAATTCTGACAGATTTTGAGGTTTAGTGGAGGTACCTTGCTTGAAAGCTGATTTACCCTCGTGCTTGTATCAGACAAGCTATTATGTCTTAAAGATTCTCCTGTGTCAACATTGTCACGTAGGACTTCATGCCCATCTTTTTCTTGAAGTATGAGATTTTTTTCGTCACACTCGTTCTCTTTTGATGTAACAAATTCCTCAAAAAGGCTGCTCGTCCCGAGCATAGGAGACTCGTAAACATAGCTCGAGAACCAGTTTCTGATGTCAGGAGGCTCTGAATATACCCAAAAAAAAAAAAAGAGTTAACTCTTGGAATTGGGTTATTTCACTTTCTCCGCTTGGCTGTAAGGAAAAGCTAATTGAAGACTGCAAACCTGAAAGGAATACTGAGTCCGAGCTGAAAATATCCAGATCCTTTGACCAAATGGCAAAAGGAAAAAAAAAAATGAAAATTCCTTTTCTTAGATTAATTGTTGCAAACTAGCAATAACAAGGGATGGTATTTCTTCTTCCAATTCAGAAAGGGAGAAGAAACCCTACCTTGGCCAAAGACTGGTCTTTGTTATGCTCTACAAAACAAGTACTTGTTATTAATAGCTTCTCCCCAGCAACCATCTCATCTCCCAACCTGATTTGTGGGCAATTTACTTCTTGTTTCTCCCTCTCTTCATCTTTTTCGGACTCGTATCCTTTGAAAGCAGAATATTCGAAATCAACATTTGAATCCGGATCGGGAGATTTATACTCATAGCTTGAGAACCAGTTTCCAACATCAGGAGGCTCTGATACACCCCAAAACAGAAAAAAACAATAAATAGTGACAATATAATAGGCAAACGAAATTCATCTTTATAATTTAGGTTGGTAAATGAAACTGAATCGGCAAACTTGAATCCCAAATTCACATCTTCATTTCATTCCTACATAGATATGTGTTCTAGCAACCACGAAGTAATTGATTAAACAAGACTCGGTGAATCTATTGAAGAAGTCGATACAAACCTGACGGGAGCGAAAGCGAGAACGAAGCCCTGGAATCCTAGAACAACAAAAATAAAATACAATGAGAACAAAGGATACAGCAGCAATACGGTGTTGGGGAGCTGAGAAATGATGGGAGTAAGAAAGGATGTACTCGGAAGTGAAAAGAACTCAGTCGATCTCTTTGCTGACACTTTCTCGTAAGCCAAACAGAAAGGGAAAATCTGTTTCATGTGAGAAAGAAACGAGGTGCAGGACGGGAAAATCGGTACCTGGCAATTACGATGGGGAAGACTCGGGATTGAATCCATCAAGATGCTTCCGCCGTCCACGAAGGTCAGTTCTGGGGAGTGGAGAGACGCAGCGTAATCGTTGTCATTGAAATGCTGTACGCTACGCTATTTTTTTTCAAATTTTTTGAATATATTGGCGCCAGCGTGTTTGTCTACCGAATCGAGTTGTTTGCAAATCACCAATATTCCCTTCAAATGTAAATGTAAAATACTAAAATTTCATAACTCACGTAAAAAAAACAAATCAAAATAGGGCTATTAGCAAGGGCCCAAAAACCGATAGCAATGACAACACCAGCCCAGGTAGCACCTCACAGTGGGCCTTTCTATTTGTAAGCCCAGCTCTTCTTATTCTTTTCTATAACAAGGGAAAACGAAGCAAGACTAGTGTCCTGCTGAAGAACGATAACTAAACAGTAGAGGAAAAGATAGGATGAAATCTAACTACACAAGATGACATTTGTTTGGCAAGCAAATCCGCAGCTTCATTTGCATCACACGATATCTTGTGGGCTTCCACAGTCCAATCACGAGTTAACAAGGCTCTAATCTCTTCGATAATATCCATATGAGTGTAATGAGAGGAGCCTTTGCCATTAATCAAATCTGAAAATAGCAATTGAGCAGGTTAAACTCATTCGGACACAAGAACCCAAACAATCTCAAGTTTGTTAAAAGCCCAAATGGTCAATTTTGGCCTGAATTCTTTTAAACTTCGAGCCTTGAATATTTTAATTTTATTTTTAAAATTATTTTTAATTAAATTTTTATTTTAAAATTAATTATTTTATTTTATAAAAAATATAAAATATATTTTTTAAATACTGAAATGATATATAGCATTTAAATTATTTTTTAAAAAAATATGTGGTTTTAAAATCTAAAAATCAATATTAAAATATATTTTAAATATTATTTTGAGATATTTAGAGATTAAAAATAATAAAAATTTGTCAATATAAATATTTTTAATTTCCTTAAAAAATATCTATAGTAATGCAATCAAATATATGATATTTTAGTATAAAATTAACAAAAACTTAAAGAATTAATTAATATTTGTTATATTTTATATATTTCTAAAAAATATAATTTTTTTTATTCAGATATCCGAGCTAAACTCAAAGTTAATTATACTTAGGCCTACTTGGATCAGTTTGAATGGCCCAAACATCAAAAAATTATTATTTTGCCAAGCTCGACCCAAAATTTGTTTGGGCGGTGAGGAATAGCCTGTCAAGTTTGGCTTAAATTATAATCTCTACAAATTCATAACTTTTAAATAATTAGAGTGAAAGATCCTAGGCCATTTTTGAACCCCAAAATTAAGAAAAAAAATTATAAAATTTAAGAATAACTAACTAATTATTACTTTTTTATTATTATAATCAAACATAAAATAATATCTATTTTTTTATAAAATCTTTACAAAATAAATCCCTTTTTATAAAATCTTTAAACTACCTAAAAGTCAATCATTTTTTAATCTTCAACAAACTAGCCCTTCATAATTAAAAGGACTCAAGTCGAGGTTGGTTGAAACGAAAATTTTAGAAGTTTACAAATTTTTTATTTTGTTTCTTCGTTAGACTTCTATATTAAATTAAATAAATATATATGTCATATTTTAATTTTTTGAAAATATATTGTGTACAAGTAAAAATTAAAATTAACCCGCACGATGCAGTCCATAAAAAATGACCTGAGTTAGTCCGGGCAAAAAAACACTAATTGCGTATATTCGATAAGTTAAGATTGTGCGTATGTTTTTTTTTTTTTTTAAAGGACTGTGCTAATAAAAAAATTATAAAATAAATATAAAAAAGTCCAGTGATGGCGAATTTTTCAAAAGAGAAAAGGTTTTATATTTGTCAAGAAAAAAGTCAATTCAACTCAATTCAGTTTTTTTAAAAATAAAATTGGTGACATGAAAATGAATGACAGCACTCCTGCAGTTAATCCTAGAAAGGATTTCCATTTTCGAATTTATCAATTCCGGGGAAATTCTTAGTCTTGGTCTTTGATACGAGATACTTGTATATATTTTTTTAATCAACAACAACATTGTTTTCCCCCTAAAGTATATGAATGCTCATGTTCGTCAATCTCAGAAGAAGTTCAGATCCGAAGACTGCTTCAATCGCTAGACTAACAAGTTTTACCCAATTTGCATAAACGAAAGAAAGACCTGACGCTTATAGGCGAAAAATCAGAACTGACCCTTTCCTTGCAACTAAAACTTTTGACAGTTAAACACTACGACATACTGGTAAGATATTAGATTTTCAAGTCAAACCACAATAACGCCGTCCAATTATGTGCAGTAATGGTAAATTTTTTGTTTTAAAAAAATCACGTAGTTATTGTTGAAGCAGGGTGACGGATATAAAGTATTTAATTTTTATTATTTTTCACCAGAACTTAATTTAACTATTTATTTTCTTGAAAAACCACAAAATCTGAAAAATCTATGAACCATAATGCATGTCAAGCAAAGTCATTGGTTTGGAACAAAGAATTGTCAAATTTATATTTCTTATTCAGAAAATATGTGTATCTTTACTGGAGTCATGCATGAAAAAGAATTCCAAGAAATATGCGCAAAAGAATTGGAGTACACAAATTTCACTAAACTCAATAAAAATCATACTGTTACGATTGCCTAAACTTTCAATTACGCCCGACAACGCTCACAATTTATTTATAGCATTAAGCATAAGCTATGAAAGCATAAATTGTATATGGAAAAATTACTTCTACTCGAACGCGACAATGCTCCAATTATCTGATAGATTATAGATAGTCATATGAAAAAAACTTTTAGTCACTATTATTGGCTGAGGGAGGGGAAATGAACTAAGAAGATGATTGCCGTTCCTGATTTTAATTTTTTTTAGTATTATTATATTATAAATGCGCACTCAAATTTATATTAAATATGTATCATGACTACTTTTTTGTTTCGACTCTCCCATAATCAAATCATGGCTCTGCCCCCGATCTGCTCATCATGAGAGATGTTGGATAATTGAAATCTTAACCACTACGCGAGCTGCAATTGCCGGATGTAGCTTCCCCAGTAAATCTTGAATTTTTTTTAAAAAAAAAAAAAGTCAAGAAGAAGAGGGAATTGAAGTCACTGTCGGTCCATTTCTGAGCGATATAAAAAATGTGAATATTCAACTAATACTGCGAATATCCAGGTGGGAAAATGAATGCCAGAAAAGTTTTGTCCCCTTGATAAAACCATATCGATCCACTCAATTTTTAAATGCTGTTCTGAGTGTCTGTGGTCACTGGTCGGGAACTCGCCCGTGGATTTGCTACAGTGCAGGGTATAAAAGAATAGTATTAATTATTATAATGGTCAACATGGATCGCAGCAAGCAAGAAAAAAGGTGATTAATAATGCCATCAACTGTACTCGGTTTCTAGGACCAGGAAAGTGAGTAATACGAGTTGATATTCTTAGCCTTTGTGTTGCACAAAACCTTGGTAATTAAAGGGACGGAGAAAACAAGTTCGGTAAGAAACAGATATGGATAACTTCAATTAATGGAAGCGTTTGTTGGTGTACGCAGAACACATCTGATTTGATATTGGTGTACGCGGGGTTTGTGAAGGCTTATTTCAGTGGAAGTGGGAACATTAGGTTACACATTCTGACAAGAAATCCGTTGACCGACCCATTGTCTAGTTTCGATGTTGAGTATAATCTTAAATCAAGACGACCAAATGAAAAAGTCAGCGGGAACTATTGTTGTTTAGTTTACATGTTTAATTACCAGGAAACCACGACAGGCTTGTCAACAACGGAGAGCCACTCAATTGGAAGACAGCAACCACACAAAATTTTATATACTTTCCTCTGAGTTGTCGAGGATTAATTGTTCCTAAAAAAAAAAAAAATAATTCGTGTTGTCGGCCTCACCGTTACTTGTGTCCTGATTAACAACTCTTTGGCCTTTATTTATGCTTAATTATCATTTCAATAACCTAAATACCTTCACGGGGCAAAAGCTGTGGAGAATCCACTATTCTTTTCGTGGGAATAACTACTGTATTATGTTTAATTTTTTTAAAACGAGGGTATTTAGGTGATATATTTCATTCGAATTCATTTCTATCAGTCCAGAATCACTTTGAGAAAATATTTTATTTCCATTTTGCGCATATCATCAAATACTAGTTTCTCATATTCCGTTTCCATTCACATCTTTATATCCATTCCAATAGAACAAACCACCTAGAGAGTGAAAGTAAGATGAGAAAGAGAGGCGTTTGGTGGGACTCATACATAAGGCGGAACCTTTCAAAACTCCAGTTTTCCTCTACAATGGTTTGATATTGAGTTTGTGAGAAACAATAGTGCAACGGGTGAAAGAAGACTGACTTTGGGGGAAGGGGCGGGCTGACCTATGTGGAGGTGGTTGGTCAACCCGGGCAACACCGCCAAATGACGATTGGTCAAGCTCTATGCTTGACACCCAAGGCATGACCCAAATACAGCATATAACATGGACGTGTAAAGAAGCATCAGCAACACATATGTGCATGTTTGGATAACTTCCATGATCAATTTTAGAGGTCAAAATCATGGGGTTTATAAAAATACATCCAAACACCCCTATTATATATTAAAATTAATTATGAACGTAAAACTATGTTTTCCTAAAAATATCCAAACACTCATTATATATCATGTTATAATCAATTTTGAATCCAAAACCATATTTTTTTAAAAAATATTCAAACACCTTTGTATATGTAAACAAAAAATACAATTGAAAATATAAATTGAAAAGCAGGTATAATAATAGTTTATGAGATAATTGTATTTTAGATTCATATTTGATTTTGGCATATATGAAGGTGTTTGAATATTTTTAAATAACTATAATTTTAAATATGTATAATGGGCATTTGGATATTTTTTGAAAGGTATAGTTTTAACACGTAATACAGGTAGTCTTTGGATATATTTTCATAACACTGATTTTAACTTATTTTTAATTCTAATTAAAATCAATTATATTAACCAATTATATATATCACATAACAGAATCAATTATATTTAAAATTAATCGTATTAATAGACTTTTTTTTAATGAACTGAAATCCATATTGTCAAATGTCAAGGTGACATTATCG